AGGATTGTTTTGTTTCCGAAAGAAACAAAAAATCTGGCCGATGTTGTTTCCACACATCCCGTAAATAACCAATTGTTGCCTTATTCCCTAAACCTTGACAATTCCAACTTAATATCTTCATATATTATCTTTGTTCTTCAATAGGGTGCGATGACCCTTCCCTAAGATCCTCCCGTCTAATACAGATCTTTGGGTTAAATTCAAAACCGATTTGGATTTCAAATTTGTGTTTTTTTTTTCCATTTGACCCAACCCAGCTTTAAATACAAGAGCCTTGCGTAAGCCATTTGAAAATTCCTTCTCGTATATTACCTCATTAAACCAAACCGAATTTAACTTATATGTAACAATCATATGCCATGTAATATTTAAAGTGGACCTAACTCCTTCGTTATTTAACAGAAATTTCATAACAAAACCAAACATATAACCGCTGAGATTCCTTTGGTTTGATAAATAAGAAAACCATAAGTAAACCAAAAATTTTAAGAACAGAACATGTGACATAAACCGATGGAAAAAATAACTTTCCTTTATTACTATATATATATATATATATGAAAATTTCTCAAAGACATTAATTGTACCTATTTTGCAAAAGACAAATGTCATTATTTTCTATTTAGTTATAATTTTCCTTTTTTTCTAGCAAAGTCTTACAAAATAAGGTACAAATGAGTCCAAATCTCTCCATTTATTTCGCGAAATAGGTACCAAATTAAAAGAAGAAGAAATTATTTCTAAGAAGAAGAAACTGAAAACATGAGAACAACTTTAACATAAGTTCTCTCATGTAATGGTTCATTAAATACAACAGAAATATAACGAATGTCCTCTTATGAACGTTTTTGACCAAAGTAAATATCATCGTTAATGTACTTAAGAAAATGATAATTAAATCCACGTTAAGATATAGTGAAGGTAAAAAGCCTCTAAAATATAGTGAAGGTAAAAGATCGAAAAAATTACTAAACATCGAGTTTTTCTGTAAGAACTAATGTAGTAATGTTGTTGTTGTTGAGCATCTGTTTTTTGGTGTCTCACAAACTTTAACATTGGGAGATTGCAAGAGCCATAAACTCTAGGTACGATGATTAAAGTCTCGGAACACAACCGAATAAGTAATAACCAAGGAAACATAACACTGAAGTTTCGTGGAACAAAAGCCTTACAGATAGCAACTCGAGTACATCAAATAAAAGGACCAGACATAAATCCTACTTGTTGAATCATATATCTAAGACTGTAGAATCGGTTCTTAAGAATGCTACTGTCTAAATGAGTCATCAATCAAGCATATTAGAAGTCTCCTGCTTCATAAAACACACATCCACTGAATCTAACTGTACACTTCCTTTTATACATTACCTGAGGTACTTCACCTCCATTCACCCTGCCTCGTGGCCATTAAGCTTCGGTTTCCATTTGGTAAACACTATTTGAGTCATCAGTGTTGATACCATTACGAGGGTATGATCATGATGAAGAAAGACCACACTATTCGCCATCTTCATCATCATCATCATCAAGCTCTACAATCTGGGCTCGCCTCTCAGCAGCTTTCCTCCTGATGAAGAACCCCCATCTCATTGCTGCTTTTATCTTAAGCCATCCAACAACAGCTCTGCCTGATCGACCACGGTCTTCATCATAACCTTGCATAGGCGTGTGTAGAAACGACGGGAAAGTATATCCATCTTCTGGCAAGTGTGTTGCAGAGCCGTTGCCTCCTCCTCCCATGCTGAATAGGCGGAGGAACTGTTGCATGTCTTCGCTCTCGAGCATTTCATGGCTTCTGAGTCGGATCTCTTCCTCTGAGAAGAAATCTTCTGGTCCTCTCTCACGGGGGTTTGACCAGTCTTCTAAATGATTGAGATTTGCCTGGTGAACAGTAGAAGAGTTGATGTTTTGGTATCCGCTTGTGGATGGTTGTGGAGGACCGAGAGCAAGACCATTCATGTTTTGATTGTGTATGGTGCTTTGAGTGTGATGTAGATTTCCCATGAACTGGTCTTGTGCTGTACTGCATGAAGCAACCTCAAATTGTGCTCGTGGGTTGGAGTTCAAAAGCTGGGGCTGCGAATGATATCTTGTTGCCAGAGTTTGATCATACCCTGTAGATTGATCGAATGGAACAAACATATAAGATTTAGTATTAAACTTTAAAACAAATTATCAAGAGATTGATTTCAATAGGCAAACCTCCAATAGCAAAATCTGAAAGCACTGGAGGCTGGTTAGCAGGCATTGAAGATGAATGCCCTGCCATCTGCATTGGATGGTCAATGGCGGCAGTAGAGTAATTTTCCAGATCAGTGTGAGTAATACTCAACCTCTGGGGCTGCTTCAAGTCTAAAAGAGATTTTCCATCATACTCTATGACTAGGTTCCAGCTTTCATATGCTTTCTTCACCAGCCCATCAACATATACCTTTAGAACACACAAGTGAAAGACAGAACCAAATTTGATAAGTCTCTTTTTCAAGTGGTTTGAAAAGAATGCAGATCAAACACAGCTAATAAACTTTTAATAAGAGATATTGAATTTTAACTAAAATCATAACTCGCAGCAAAGCAAAGAATGGTGTTTATAAGTCAAGCAACATGGAGCAAACCTTTTGGCTATCAGTAAGTGAATCAGCAGAGAAGTATTGATCTCCAGAAATAAGGCCGCTTAACTCATAGATATTATTGAACACAACACCGACATTCCTTGAATCCTCAGCATAATAGATATAAAGCTTGCCGCTCAGGACACACGTCTTTGCGTGCTCTACTAGTGCATCCCACATTTTGTTTGACATGCCGCTTCCAAGAATCTAGATAAAATTAGCCATGGTGTAAATCTAATGAACAATCTCTTTCAAGAATAAAAACTTGACATAATAAGCACTTACAGAACGTAATTTTGGAGCATCCTTGACCATTATTCTCAGAAAATCTTCTACAGTGTTTATTCCTTCAGCATTAAGCTTTTTATGGAATGCTCCATCCTTGCCGATCTTCTCCAATCTCCACACATCATCATTCAGAGCAGGTGGATAATGCTTCTTGTACACTGCACATAAACGAAATGAGCATCAAACTAAAAGAAGTAAATACCAGATGGTACAATGATAAAAAAGTAGAGCTTTTAAGGACATACATTCGCCCCTGTGATCCTTAACAATAAAAGCTTCCGTCTTCGCCTCACGGATACGCATGCCATCACAATACCCAGAAACCACCCGTAAACCAAGTCGGAACTTCCGACTTCGAATCCAACTAGAATTATCCGTGAAAACTAGCTCTCCCAAAGTTCCAACCCCTTCCTTGAGAGTAACATACACATCTCCAGTAAGCAACGGTCTCTTTCCTGAACGCTCTTTTACAACATGGCTTTCAAATTCTTCCTGTGTCCAGTCTTCATCATCTTCAGTATTAAAGTCACCCTCAAGCACAACAACCTGAAGCTTTGCTGAAGCCTCTGGACCATGTACCACAGCACGACACGTGTTTGCATCAATCAAGACGACATGAATTGCAGCACCTTGCTCTCCTTCTACTTTCCCTCCAGTGAATAAGGGGAGAGATAACCTAGATTTGAAGTGTAACCGTAAATTCCGACCATCCGGACCTTCAATTCGCTTAGGAGAAGATCCAGAGCTGAAAAGTAATAAGAAACCATTATCTAACATTAAAAGGAGTATTCCACAACATCACGAGCTATTAAGATATAAAACGAGAAATTTCTATTTTACCTTCCAGTAAGCCTAGCAGGGCCTAGTTTCGCTAAAGCACGTTCCACTTCCTCACTGACCTGCTTAGAAACAACCCCATATTAAGACTTAAAACAAAGGAATGGATAGCTAATTTATAAGCAAAGGGAATAAACATATAACTCCAAGTAAGAATACAGAAAAATAAAGCAATGAAAAGAGCAAGAAGCAGGCAAAGATTGAGCTCAACACAACAGGAAGAGAACTTACAACTCGGCGGAGAATAGGTTCCAAAGACGAACAAAGCTTCTGCAAACTGTCTACTTTAAGAGCCTCAACAATCACACTGGCACAAACCATAATATAACCAAAGTTAGAAACTTTTCAGTAGCAGTGAAGGAGGAAGGATAAGAATTAGTGAATTACCTAGCAAGAGCAGGGCGTTTTCGCTCAGGCTGATCATCATCGTTACCATCCAAATTCCTCTTTGCTCTATTCATATTATTATTACCTCTATCCATCATCTACCTCTGCATTCTCCTCCCAAAAAAAAAAAACCTAATTTCCTAGATCTGCAAAATCACAAACGCCACACAATTCAATCTTAAACAGCACAAAAGTCCACAAAATCAAAACCCACAAAAACACTCTCGAGAATGGTTCAAGTCCACTTAACAACAAAAACCCTAAATCAAGTAACTAAATCTGAAAACAAAAACCCACGTCGGAGACTTCGCGGTGACCAATTGAAGAACCAAATCAACGACAAAGAGACATAAGTAAGAGGAAAGTACCAGTTAATCGGAGACGGAGAAAGCAGAGAGTAACTCGCCGATTAAAAACCACCGGCGTTGGATTGAAACAATGATTAGTAGTGGATTTTTTGATGATAGTTTTCGAGACAGTCTCTTTGTTTTGAGTCTTCGCAATTTTGGGTTAATCGGTCAACTATGGCGACTCTTTGAGCTTCTCCAGTGCTTGTAGTGGGATTTAATCGTGTGTGGTAAGGTTTACGTTTTTTTTATTGTGGTCCTGCTACCTATGATTGTCGTTTTTAGTTAAAAGACTAACGTCTGCGGGCCCCGCTAAGAGAAATAGCGGTCGTTTGTCTTTATCCGATGAATCTCAGCCGTAGATTACATCTTTAAAAGCAACTTTTTACTTCACCAACAGAATTATTACAGAATATGTATTTTTTTTAGTATTTAGCTTTTTTGTCTTTTAGTATGAAACTGATCTTGCATTAAATTTGGTGTTCGATTTCTTTTTAGTAATTTCCATAAACCGATAGATCTCGTGAAGGGAAAAGAAAAAGAAAAGAATTCCAGAGATCTACCTACCATTATAAAATATTCAGATTCCAAATGTCATTAAAATTTGCAACAAATACAAAGGCGACAACAAAATAAGCTGGAGAGTTTTGGGTTTCATGTTCTGTTGAATTCTCCGAGCCTTTTGTAGAGCTTAGTGAGTAACCGGCGGCAAATTTCCGGCGAGGTGCAAGGGCCACACATGAGATAAATAACGTTGCCGAGAGGGCGCGTGAAGATTCCATCTTCTCGGAGCATCTCTAGAAGAGACTTTGCATACAACGAAGCATACCTGAAACACATACCAAAGTTTGTGTTCAAGACAACGAGGCTAACGATCACAATTGAAGAGAACAAAGAGTATGTCATTTGAGAAGATTACCCGGAATTGGAAGCATCTGCTTTTAGTTCTAGAGCGAAAAGGGTTCCTAATACAACCACCCTTTGAACCGCGGAGTGAAATGATATTTGTTGCACCAGTTCGTCGTCCCACAGCTGCAAATTTAAGAGTTAATTAATACCATGCATAATGGCTGATTTTGCTATTGATTGCAACATACTGATCTACGTATCTGGACTCGCGCAATACTATAAAAGACGAAGAGCGTGTTAGTCGTAGTAATACCTCTCTTAAGGTTTTTCCTTGTGAAGTGATGTTATGGTTAGTCTCTGGATCTTTGAACCATTGGATGGCCTTGGCGGCTGTTGCGCAACCCATAGCATGAGCTGAGTATGAGTGACCATGAAGCAAGGCTTTAAGCTAACAACCAGTAAGGGAAATTAGATAGCTTCAAGCAGAATCAGAAATGCATGAGGATGGTTTTCATAACAAGGAGCCTACTACTTTCGTTTTACCTTGGAATCGCCAGAAAATGAATCGAATACAGCATCTGTGGCAAGAGTGACAGCCAAAGGAACCATTCCACCAGTCAACAATTTGGCAAAGCAAGCTATGTCCGGTTTGCAGTCGAGAAGTTCAGCAGTGGTCTAGGTAGAATCATGGTAAAATGTTAGTAGAACGTAAATGGAATGTAGAAACAGATTTATATCAAAAGATGATATAAATTACTACCTCTACTCCAAGACGCCAGAATCCTGTGAACACTTCATCGAAAATGACTGGAATTTTTCTATTCCGGCACTCATTGACCAAAACTCGTTGAAAAAGCGGATCAACCATGTGCATTCCCCCAGCACCATGGATTACTGCAGACAAAATCGCCAACTTAATAGAAGAGTAGTTTTGCATATAGGCTATAGCAATCTAGATAGATAAACCAAGGATGCTAAACTTACTGAATATAATAAATTACATACGAAAACTATGTGAAGTCATACTGGCGAATGTACTATCATACCTGGTTCTATTATCAGTGCTCCAACATGGGCAGATTGCCTAACTCCAGAATCCTCTTGTAAATGCTCCGATACATAGGCTGAATATATTCTTGCAAGAGTTGTTGCGTCTCTGCTCTCGTCAAAAATTTCATCACGGATGGAGAAGGCTGTAAAAGTTTAGGAATACTAAATCATGCAACTAAAGGAAATGTATCGGAGGATAGCAGAGAGAGGGAAGGATGCTATTTACTTCCACATTCTTCTGGGGCTATTTCAGAAAAACATTCAGGGAGGAAGATATTCCAGGCTCCATTGGAGAGAAAGACAGTAGGAGGATCCAGAAACAGACCTCTTCCAGTATACCTGCAACCCAGAAAATACATGTTAGCATAATCAAAGGACAGACTGAGAATAACATGATAAAGAATGCTTGCTCAAGACAATTTGGGTGTTTTACAGTGTGAAAAAGGTGAATTTATTCAGGTGCTGATATCTAGATGTAATCATGATTAGTCCGTAAGGAATAAAAACTCTATCGAAGCAACACTAAGGACTGGTTGATATGCAATTAGATGCCTCCCACATTAGTGCAGGAGATGCAGATGATCCAAAAAATGTTTTATTCGGAAGTTGAATGTTGGAAAAAAAAAATGTTCCAAGTAATAAATCATAACAAACAATAAAAATTACCACGGCTGCTGGAGAAAGCCTGTATAAGGTGATGGTGCTTGTGCTTCCATCGCTCCTAAAGTATCCCCATGGTAAGATCCCCGAAGAGCTAGGACCTAAGACACATCAAATTTTCACATTAGAATTTATAACCCAAATGACAGCACTATATAAATGAAGATATTCTTGCATATGGAAAAAGAAGAACTGCCAGGACAAGGGGAACACTTGCATCTTAGTAATCAGCAAAGTGCACAACAAATGTTCAATAACAGGTACAGTTAAGTGTGTAAGTATCGAAGAGCATTAGCATGCAAGATGATTGTACCTTAACCACAATATGCTTTTCCTCTTCCCTTTTCTCGCAAAAATCATGATCGACACAAAACTTACGAAATGCCATCTTCAAGGCAATTTCGATTGCTGTGGATCCATTATCTGAGAAGTATACTCGAGAAGCCCAGCCTGCATGCATAAACTAATTAGCCATCCTCCAGTGTTTGATAATAAAAACAATGTGACAGAGCAAGTTTAGAAACCTTTTCCCACTCCATCTAATAAGAGCTCAGCGCATTTCAAGGCAGGTTCATATACATTCTCAGGAAACATAACATGCCCGAACCTAGCAGCAGTGTAACCCATTTCTCTAGCAAGCTCAGCCTGAAACAGCCTAAACAAAAGTTCAAAACAAACTTCAGAAAAGTCATCACAAACACAAAGAGAGACAAGAATTAAAATTTATGACATAATAATGCACGCGGAACTGATATATGTCAATTGTCATAAACTGGGAAATAATGGGCACAGATGACCTGGAAAGTAGGATCTGGCCCCTGTGTCCACCAGCTTGCACAAGCATCAAATTGCTGGGTAAGAGAACTGTTATCGGAAGCCTAAAAATGATGACAGAAGAGAGTTCCATTAGATAACGGAAACCATGAGTCATGACTTCCAGGTAATCTGATTGCTTATGACCATACTAACCACTCAAGACAAAAAATATGGACATGACAAAATACATAAGGATTTCGTTATACAAACCTTGTATATTGAGAAATTTTCACCACATCGGGAGTCTATAACCGTCACAGTTTCTTCATGCACAAGTTTATGCTGAGTAAATGGCCACCAGAAAACCTTTCCTGCTTGCTTAGCCATGCTGTTTAATCTTTCTAATCTCCCCAAATAAGCTAACACCATTGTTTCTTTCAAAGCTTTGAAAACACCATTGGATTCGACAAACCATTCTATTAGATCATCTGAAGGATCCTTGGGAACAGGCGGAAGCACAAGCACCGGCACCCTACCAACCAGAATTGTTCAAACACGAATACGAAAAGTTAACCAATGAGCTTCTAATGAAGAACACATAAGAATTGAAAGCACTAAACAGATAAAGCCACTGAAAATTACTTATTCCTTAGATATGAAGTTAATGGAACTTCATTAACAAGGCCATGATCTTCAAAAACAACAGCAGCAATATCATATCCACGAAGTTTTAAACTCTCGTAAGCTGCAATAGTCCCTGAGATACCACCAAGCCGCCCATCTCCGACAAGAATTCCAGGCAATCTAAAAGGCCTAATTTCAGGGACACAATACACATCTATGAGTACGAGATAATTCAAATTCAATCTCCTAACCATTTTTACAGGCATTCCAAGTAGAAGATAATTTACCTGTAGAGGTCGCATTGAAGAGTTCCCGACGGTCCAGGACTAGCAACTCCACCGGCAGTCTCCACCAAACATAGTAAATCCGATTTCTCGCTTCTACTTCCACACTCCATCTCTTCCTTTAAACACTTTTCAATCATCCGTAACACGATGGAGTCCTCAATCGTCGCGTTTTCCCTCTCCGCAGCTAAATGCGGAGAGATAGCTGCTTCCCAAGCATACAACGTCTTGCACAAAAGTTCAGGCGCACCGGTGACAGTCTTCTCCTCCCGGAAGTTCAAATTACACATCCCAGTGTCACTGACTTCAACATTCAATCCCAGAGATTCTGCGGCGGGGAGTGAAGAACGGAGAACAGAGTTGGAGATTGAAAGAGGGATTTGGCGACGGAGGGAGAGTGAATCGAGCTTGGAGAAGACGAAACGAGAATCGGAATCGGAAGGGAAGCCGGTCTGAATAGGTTTCAAATAGAGGAGTTTTGTGGCGGAAGATGAAGGTTGTTGGAGGAGGAAAGAGGCGGCGATGCCGGTAGAGACGAGGGTTTTGCCGAGAGAAGTGTTGGCTGACCAAATTAAGTAGGTAGGGTGGTTGAGTGGTAAATGAATAGAGTGAGTAGGAGGAGGAGAAACAGCGGTGGAGTTGAATCTGATGCGGTGGCGTAAGTGCCGGAGACGGTGGCGGATGAGAGTGGCGGTTACGGGTATCATTGTTGGTGGGTGGGAATGGGATAGTGAAGTGGCGGAGAGAGCGAGTGTTTAGCTCGAAAGAGTCGTTGTGGTTTGGAGGGTAAATTTGGAATCCGGTTATTTACTACTTTTCGTCTTGCGAATCACCTATTCGGCCCGAACTTAGATTAGTGGGCTGGGCTGGGCCCATATTTATATGATTAAAATCACAATTGCATATGTATATGTAGTAATAAGGAAGGAATTCGAATCGGGCACATAAATTCTGCGAATTACTGATTGGAGATGCTTTGAAAGATGTGCCAACTGTCACTAAATGATTGGAGAGAACGTGACGCAGACGTACGTGTAAACTCCGTGGGTTAAATAAATAGCAACGGCTAAACTTTGATTACTTCCTACAATAAATAAAACATATGACCACTTTTTTTTTGGCGCCATAGATGTCATGTCACCACTCACCACATAACAAGTTATCATATTACGAAAAAGTTATTTATATAACAAAGAAGTTAAAGCAAGAAACACAAAATCTTTACTAAAGTTACAATATTTTGTTTTTACCAAAAAATGATGAGTGAAAAAATAAACTAGTGAAAATACATAAATATTTTATTCTTTTGATAAACCAAAACATAAATGTTGTAAAAATCATACATCTGTTTTGAAAACAATCTATGGTTGTTGAATAAGCATGCAAATTTATACTTTAAAAGTTTAAACTAGTCAAAAAATTATGATTGACTACTACTACCAAAGCTTTTTAAATTTTTCACATGTTTTGGAGATTATATGGATTTTGATCTAGAACAATAGTATATTTTATCAAGATAAAAAATATACATATAATCACAGTATATATAATTTTATTCATAGTTAAACAGAACAACTCTATATTTATAACATGATGAAGTTTTAAATAGACTTTAAATCTAGAATCTGTTAGAAAATACATAAAAATAAGTTATAAATTTGATGTAGTAGAACCATTAAAACATAAATTAATGATAGAATAAAGCGTTTCACATGCAAACCCAGATTAATAATGTTAATACACATTATTGGTAATTAATTTTTGAATAATGAAAATATAAATGCGGGTGAAGAACACGCGCAGTGGCGGTGGACACAAGGAATCTGCGGCCGAGGAAGAAGCATATACCCCTACCCAATATCAATACGCCATGCCTGGGAAAAACAATTTAAAAAAAAAAAAACAAATTCAATGGAAAAAAATTATTAAAATAAAAAGCGAGAAAGCGCCACGTGGATAGCTACCTGGCGATACAACAGAAGCATCGCATCTTCTAGTTCTTCTTCTTCTGCCCAAAAAATCCCCAGAAAATTTTAAAAAGATTATATTTTTATTTTTATAATTTGTCCATCATCATCAAAATCAAAACCAAGAAACCTCTGTCGTCGACGCTATTTCTCAATTATTTCTTCCATCTAAAATCGAAATCTTTCTTCTTTCCATACGAATCTCCACTCTTAAATCTTTTCTGGGTTTCTCTTTAAATTCCAAAAATTTTCCCAATTCAGATTTCGTCTTGAGTCCATTCATACCCAAGAAAGATCAGAGTGCGGAATCGGAGCGTGATTTATATAAATTACGCATTTTTAAATCGAGGGTTTCTGCAAATTCGTCTTCTTTCTCAGAGATTCTAGGTAATTGATTCAAATTGATGATCTTTTTGAGCATATCGTTGTTCTTTGGATTGATGATTTGTGTACGCATGTCTCTGTTTTTTTTTCCCAGATAAGTGCTAATGCTTTGTGAGAATGGAGAATCATTTCAACTGTTATTGTCAGCGAACCACTGCCAAGTTTTATTGTCGTCGTGGGTTTGAGATTTCGTACGAAACTGGGAAAGAATTATCTGCGGATTTGAATTCCCATCTGCAATAAGCAAGCTTTGATAATAATTAATAGTAATAATCAGATTGGGAGGAGATTCGCTATGGATTCAGGTTCTGTGAACTCATCTTCTGTCACTAGTCCAGTCTCGAGTTTGAACGATGAGCCACATCGTGTTAAATTCCTGTGTAGCTTCTTAGGCAGTATATTGCCTCGTCCTCAGGATGGGAAATTGAGGTATGTTGGTGGAGAGACGAGGATTGTGAGTGTGAATAGAGATATTAGGTATGAGGAGTTGATGAGCAAGATGAGAGAGCTTTATGACGGTGCAGCGGTGTTGAAGTATCAGCAGCCTGATGAGGATCTCGATGCTTTGGTCTCGGTTGTGAATGATGATGATGTGACGAATATGATGGAGGAATATGATAAGTTAGGTTCAGGGGATGGGTTTACTAGGCTTAGGATCTTTCTGTTTTCGTCACCTGAGCAGGATGGTTCTTTGCATTATGTGGAACGCGATGATCAGAGGGAATCTGAGAGGAGATATGTTGATGCTCTTAATAATTTGATTGAAGGGACAGACTTTAGGAAGCTTCAGCAGTATCCTGATTCACCTCGTTTCAATTTCGTTGATGAATTTTCGATGGTGGAACCGATGCTGAATCAGCTGAGCATTGAGACTGGCGGTGGTAGCCAGAGGGGCACCGAGATACCTACTGCGCAGTATAGTAATCTTCACCAGCTCAGGATTCCTCGTGTGGGTTCGGGGCAGATGCTTGCACAGAGGTATGGTGAAGTAGAGGGTACATGGAGTCCTTACTATTCTCCTCGGCACCATGGACATCATGATCCCAGAACTTTTCAGGAATTTCCATCTTCGCCTTCTTCTGCTCGTTATCGAATGCCATATGGGGAAATTCCTGATAAGGGGTTTGATAGAATGCCTGAGGAGTATGTGAGGCCGCAAGCAAGTCATCATCCTTTATATGAGCACCAGGCACACATTCCTGAGAGTGTTGTGTGGGTCCCAGCTGGAGCAATGCCACCTGAGAGTAAAGGTGGTTTTCCTGGGAATGTTCTTCACAGTGGTCCAGGTGGCTATGAAGGTGGTAATGTATGCGAGAACTGTCGTGTTCCGTATCATCGGAACCATCAGCTTTTGGAGCAGCCTAATATAGGCAACAATGGATTTCCACCGGTTCATTGTGCACATTGTCCACCAAACAGGGAAAGTTTCCTGCTTAACACAGACCCGAAACCTACTCATCACGGAGCTTATCCAAATGAGACTTTCGGACATGAAAGAGGACGGATGGTTCAACAACAGGTGAATTCTAATCCTCCAAGGATTGAGGAAGGAAGGTCACATATTTCTAATGTTGGAAGACCAAACGATCATTACACTCCCGATTATCCGGTGTCGAACTATCCTCTTGCTCAACGAGCTGGACATGAAATTTCGAATGAAGGATTCCATGATAAACCACTTGGTGGCATTCCCCTGAATTCGGCCAACCGTTCTGCTGAGGAACGTGTGTTTCATTATGGGAATAATCTCTATCCTCCAGGACCTGAAAGTATCCAATCAGCAGGTCATAGCCATATGCACCCTCAACAAAATATTTGGCAGAACGTTTCAAATCCTGTAGCTGGTCCTCCAGGCTTGCCCATGCAAATCAATGGCACAGTCAATCAGACCATAATCAGGAATCCGATAGAAACTGCTCCTAGGTATTCTATTGGAGTAGAGAATCAAGGTGTTTTGGTTGGTTCTCCGCAAAGGATTTCAGGCTTTGATGGAATGCCCTCCCCTGGCCAGCCTTACTACCCTAATCCCCATTTGCAAGATAGAGCCTTCCCTTTAGACCCAAATTGGGTCCCATCTGAAAACCCGACAGTACATAATGAACATCTACAGGTGCGTGAGCCTTTGTCTGGGCCATTATTACAGACAAACCTCAATGCTGCACCAATTATGCAGACACCAGTTATCCAGACACCAGAGAGCAAATTAGCTCAGGGAGGTGAAAAATTTAACTATGTTGATACTGGTGTCTCAAACGGTGTTCCTTACCTAGATAAGCCTCAACCCTTAGCTGAAGGAAAGAAAGATATGGTAGAAGTTAGTCCTGAAGGGGCAGAGCTATCAGTTGAGCGTTTGAGTTTCTTGCCGGAGTTAATGGAATCTGTGAAGAGGGCGGCACTTGAAGGAGCTGCTGAAGTTAAAGCTCATCCAGAAGAATCCAAAAATCAAGTGAGGCCGGAGTTGGTGGAAAATGAATCAGAGCATATGGTGAGTATTCTGAGATGTTAACCTGCTATGAGGGCCTTAGGGTGTTTTCCTTTCTTCTGACTTCCATTTTGCAACAAATTTTTGTTTTTCAGAATGCTCAAGACGAACCTGAGATAGATTCTGATAACGATAACCCAAACAATTTCAAGATTGAACAAACAAAGGCTGAGGCTGAAGCTCGATCCAGGGGACTACAGGTTCTTATGCTTAAACCTGTCTCATAGAATTCTGAAACAGAACAAATTTCTAGTCCTTTTGACTTTGGTATCTTGATTTTCATCTTCTTCATCTAGAGTATAAGAAACGATGATCTGGAGGAGATCCGAGAGTTAGGCCATGGAACCTATGGATCTGTTTACCATGGAAAATGGAAAGGCTCAGATGTTGCAATAAAGAGAATAAAAGCCAGCTGCTTTGCAGGCAAACCTTCTGAAAGGGAACGTTTGGTAAAATTTAATTCCTTTATCATCAATTGAATTTAACATTTTCATCAACGTCTAAGTCTAGTATAATTCTCTTACTGCTTTTCTGGTGTTGCAGATAGAAGATTTTTGGAAAGAAGCCCTGTTATTGAGCTCATTGCATCACCCAAACGTTGTGTCGTTCTATGGGATAGTTCGTGATGGTCCTGATGGTTCTCTAGCAACTGTCGCTGAGTTCATGGTTAACGGATCTTTGAAACAGTTCTTGCAGAAGAAGGATAGGTAAAAAGATTAACAAATTCATGCATTATATACTATTTTCCTAGAGAATTCAAATATCTGAGATCACATTGGTTGACTCCTCCAGAACTATTGATCGGCGCAAAAGACTCATCATAGCCATGGATACTGCATTTGGGATGGAGTATTTGCACGGAAAGAACATAGTTCATTTCGATTTGAAGTGTGAGAATCTTCTTGTGAACATGAGAGATCCTCAGCGTCCTATATGCAAGGTTCCGTTTTTGCTCATCTGATCTCCCATATAACAAAGAATAAGCTTATATATTTCTCATAATTTTGTCTTCTTTTGTTTTTTGCAGATTGGTGATTTGGGGTTA